CGTACCGACAGGGAAGATCACAGTCAACTCCATGTTGATGTCTATCGCCTCAAGGATGGGCAGTCCTTGCTTCAGACGAGGTCCACCAGGTGTGTAAGGAGCTGCAGCAGGGACTCAAACAGGTGACCAAGACGTTGCACGGAGAGATGAGGCGCGAGTCAGAGAGGAACGGGGTTGCGTTCCACCGGGAATTCGAGGACTTCATGAAGAAGATGGAGGCGCTCGTCACTGAAGGCGCTAATTGAGAGAAGACTGGGGAGAGGTGCACCACTGACAAGATTGCTGCCGAGGAAAAGCTTAAGGGGATTGATTTGGCGCACGCGAGTCCCAAGGGGAACCGATTGTGCAATCCTTCCGACGCCCACAACGAAAGGATCATTGGCATGGAAGGAGCATCATGATGGAGCTATCCCTCTCACAGGTATCGCGTGGGAAAGTCTGGCCCTCAACGACGAAGATAGAGGGGCGGCAAAGTCGGCTGTGAAGTTTGACGAGCGGTCTGGACGTGGAGCCAGGGGCGGAGATCGGCAACAAGAGGAAGAAGGCGGTGCGGGGTCAAAGGGAGATTGGTCGGGAGAAGGGTCGCACAAGGAGGAATAAGGTTTCCGGGCTGGTGAGGAGTTGATCGCCAGGTCAGATCGACCCGTAAGTCGGCTATACCTCATGGGCGAAGACAGCATCGAGTCCTGGCGTTGTCCCAGAACCCGCGGTGGAGCAGGAGAATGGCCAACCCAATCGGGAGCTGGGTCGGGCGGTCGAGCCGCGCGAAATCGGAGGGCCGCGAGATAGAGAAGGTTCTAGCTAGGGAGGACTCGGCTGCGGCATGGTTTTGGGGGAGAACAACGACTCTCGAGTTTCCAAAGTTCACCGGGCAGGAAGAACCCTCAAGGTGGATGACTCGTGTCGAAAAGTATTTCAGGTACCAAGATATTCCTTAGGAGCAGAAAGTGGCCCTTGCGTCATTCCACATGGAAGGCAACGCAAACCAATGGGTGATGTGGGTCAAGGAGGAGTTCACACAGGGAGGTATGGAGATGTCCTGGGACGACTTCTGTGCTAAATTCTGGAAGCGGTATGGAGCTTCAGAGAAGGCCGAGAGACACGAGGCTTTGCCAAAAATTTGACAAATAAGGACGGTGGAGGATTATCAACAGAACTTTGAACGATTGTTGAACCGTTGTCAAGGATGGAGTAGAGAGGCGGTGATGGGAACATATATGGGGGGCCTCAAACCCGAGATCTCCGCTTATATACGCGCTTTCGCGTCAAGGAATACTTGGGAAGCTTATCGCTTGGACAAGGTTCGTGAAGAGGAGAAACGAATCGAAAGGGGAGCCGCTAGTGGAACGACACGTGGACCTGTTGCGGTCACACCAAAGGCGGCCCCAATTCAGAACCGGCTCCTGCACTGCCAGCTCGTGGTCCACCTCTAGTTGGGAGGCGGGTTATTCGACACCTGACACCAAAAGAGACTGCATGACGTCGCCACGATGGTCTATGCTACAATTGCGATGAAGGATTCACCTATGGTCACCGTTGTGCTAACAATCAGGTGCTTGCGTTGATCGGGGACTTTGGAGACGGAGGAGAAGGGGTGGATAGGCGACGAGACCCAACCTCGGGACGAGGTTACTTGAAGGGGGTAGGATTGATGCATTACGAATTCAGCGACTCGTCTCTATTTTTCCTATATTAGTTTTATTAGTATTTATCGGATCTTCTTTGGTTATTGTTTCGGTTTAGGATATTTTATCATTCCGTAATCGGTTTAGGATTTGTTTCCTTTTTCGAGAAGGGAAGGATTTGTAGGCTTAGCCTATAAATATGTAGTAGGTTTTACGTTTTATAGACCAGAATAAGAACAAACCAACTTTTTGTTAGCTACTCTCTCTCTTTCTCGTTCTAAACCCGACGCGTGAGGATGTCACGCGTCGGTTTTATTGTTTGGTTGCCGTTCATCTGCCTTTCTTTATTTCCATGTTTGATTTTCTCATCCAATTCTAATCTATCTATCTATCTATCTATATATAACTTATATTATGGTTGTTTTATAGCAATCTCTTGCCACGTAGGAATCAAGAACCTCCAAAAAAATTCATCTCATATTTATCATTTCAGTTTTTATATAAATTTTTATGTTTCTCTAAGCTAAAAATAGTAAAGAGATATATAATCATCACTGAGACTGGAACCTACAACCTCCGAGACCCAAACTAATATCCTTTAGAGTAGGGGTGGAAGTTTGGGTTGCGGGTTGTGGATAATCTGCAAACTGCACCAACCCGCACCTATTGTGGGTAACCATACCCACAAGTTGTGGGTAGTGGGTTGGGTATGGGTAGTAAAATAACGTTTTTGTGGTTAGTGGTTATCCACTACCCACCGTGGTTAACCCACAAAATCCACAATAGCCACACTAATTATATTTATTTAGTGAATTAATTTTATAATATAATAGTATGTGAAAAGTGCGAGGATAAAAATTAAAGTAGCCACCAAATAAAAAAGACACACATAATCAGTTTTATGTAAGAATTTTTTAGTTTATAAAATACTATAATCGATAGAGTGGAGAATAATCAATTCATTGAAAGTGAACACCTTTTGTAACTTTTATCAGTATGTTTTCGCTTTTGTGTGGAAAAAAATACAAGTTCATATTTAATTGTCATATTTCACCCCTAGTCGGAGAAATATGAAATTACAACTATCTGACACAAAAGTTGAATATCAAACTCAAAAAGAAAAAATCTCCATATTGAGTAAGATCGATGTACAAAATTGTATTTCCACGAACAACACAAGTGTATATCACTATAGTCTAGTTACGAACAATTAGTGGCGACTAGAACTTTATGCTTGCTAAAAATTACTACTCATCTCATGAAACAGTTTAACACCTTACCTTTTAATGTGATCTTTCGCTTTACCGGTTGACATTCGACTCAACTATAAAAGCATTTTACATAAACTAAAGCAATGAAAATTTCTATTATATTTTATATCTATCTTACTAAATTATTAATAAATAAAATTAATGGATAAATTGGCCAGATTAAATTTTCTCATCAAAAATCCTGATGGACACCCAAACACATAATTGGCTCAAGTCACGTTTGGATCAAGGATTTTAATTCGAGAGATTCATGTAAATTTAAATTTTTACAGTACATTTGTTTGATTTTTTATGTAAAAAAATATGAAATCCAAGTTCAAAGAATAAGATATATTATGTTAAAATTTAATGTAGAAGTTGTTACGCATTTGTGTTTAATTTTACGGTTATGCACATAAAGTGTTCGAGACAAGTTTCACAACTATGACATTTTGTCTTTCGAAAATATTGAAGTGGACTTCGGTTATCTTTGCTCAAGTCAACATTGTTCGCAACATTCCTTTTCTTTTCCGCCTTTTTCTCCGAGAAGCATAACTCCTTTTTGTAGATATTTGTATGTCGGCTCTGCTCAAACTCTGTCATTCACAAATACGTTAAAATTAAATCATCCTCCGCATTTTGCTTCTTCTTCATTATTGGTTAGTGAATGATTAGAACATCCTAGGTCACCACATTTTCACATACATCTGCATTTAGACTTCACTCAAGTCGCTTTCGTTCCTAAATTCCTTCTCCATAGCTATCTAGGTTGGGATTTCACAACCTCTCATCTAATCAATTCTAAATAGTAAAGCTTTACTTTTCAATAAAAAATTCAGCAATTACTTTACGCTATCCATTAATTAATTAATGCAAGTTGTTCCTTAGAATGTCAATGAGGGAACTCAATTGCATGATGCAAAGATAAAGCTTGATTTTTTATTTATTTATAATGATGACGGGGAGTAAACCATACGTAGGAACATTAAAACTGTCGTCACTACTAATTAGATCGTCATTTATTGAATTAATATTGTATGGTATTGTAAAGTCGAGGCGGAGTGTCTATATGGCTAATTTTGGTTATATAAGTGTTAAAAAGTTAAAGGTAATACACAATTATATATGTATGATTGTTAGTATAAGATTACAACTACACCTTAATTGCATGTTCATGATATGCAATAGTGTCTCACTTTCATTGATCTAAACTATGTTTATTTATTTGGTGTTTATTCATTGATCTCTCCAACACGAGTATCGATTTATGTTTAGAAAACCAAAAAATATAAAACAATGCCCAAAGTCGTACCGAAAAAGTTAGCATGAGAGTATTTTATACTAAAATCGTAGTTCAACTGTGGTTAAAATCAAGTTGACACGTTCCAACCCGAACCTCAATTTATGTTTAGAAAAAAAAAACAAAAATTGTAAAATCATACCGACTGTCGTACCGAAAAAGTTAGAATTATGATATTTTGTGTTAAAATCGTAGTTCAATCGTGGTTAAATCTGGGATGACATATTGCTCCAACCCGAGTCTCGATGTATGTTTGGAAAAAATTATTGTAAAACCTTACCGAACGTCGTACCAGAAAAGTTAGCATTATGACATTTTGTGCTAAAATTGTAGTTCAATCATGATTAAATTATACAGCTAAAATCCCCTATTAAACTCCGTTGGGAGTTTTTTTTATATAATTACTGCTAAACATAATTACAAATAAATACGGGTTAACAAATCATACATCTAATTTTACCGTACATAATCTACCTAGTACATGTGAATGAAAGAAGGCAAATTAATTTGAAGGTCTGTTTTGTGATAAAAGTCCAGGACATGGAGAGTGAAGGGACAGGGGTGAATTCCCAAAATAATGTTTTTTTTATTTACCACCAATATGGTGGTTTTAAATATATCGACACAGATATTTCATTTTTGTAGGCAAACACACGCGGGGTCGCAGGAGACTCAAATTGACGAGTTTTAAATGCGGATCCAAAATGGATTTGTGCGGACCCGCAGCAAACTCGTGCGAGTTCACATAAAATGAAGATACCGCACCAGTCTCGTGCGGGTACGTGTACTCTGTCTTATTTCTTATCTTCTTCCCCACCCCCAGCCCCTTCGTCTGCAGCGACGCCCCAAAACCCTCCTCCTCTCGCCAGACACCCACCATCGCCCAACCCCCCATCCCCAACCGCCACAAAATCCCACAATCCCACGCGGGTTCATCCCGGGCTCGTGCGGAAACGACCTAGAGTCACGCGGAAGCGCAGGAGTGAAGAGGCGGCCGAACAAAACTGGATCTGTATTTTTCTGGTTTTGATGTCGGACTCCGACGAAGAACAGGCAGCCGCCGGAGGAAGAGGACAGCAGGCACGCGGCCGGTACCGCGGTGAGCGATTCATCGGTAGGAAAGTCGCCGTCGGTCACTGGAATGTCGTCGCCGGCCACCAGAAACTCGCTGCCGGCGGGTTTTTCTTTTCTGCTTCTTTTTTTTTTTGCAGTTCCTAGTATTCCTGACAGGCATTCCACGAGACGACTACCTGCGACGATAGATACAGCTCCGGTCGATTCAGTACTCCTTTGGGCATATGGTCAACATCGTGCCGACTCAGTTTGGATTCACGAGGTAAGTATTTTATGTATTTTATTTCATTAAATTCATTAGCTAGTTAGATTAGAATTTTGTGAAATTAGTATTAGTTTGATTAGATATATTTTACTAAATTAGATTGATTTTACTAGGTAAATTGAAACATTATAATTGCAAGTGAAATTAGATTAGTTTTCATTACATATATTTTTAGTAAATTAGATAGATTTTACAATATGTTCTGAAAATAGAATTACGCCATGAAATTGAATTAATATAAGTTTTGTGCACTATAAGCTAGTGATCGTGTTTACTAAATTGGTCACGTACCATCCACGTTATGAGCCGTATCTCCAGGATGCCGGTTTGTTTAGTGTTCAGCAGTTGGTCCCTATGACTGGTTGTATAGATGCATCTTTGATCACCGCTCTAGTAGAGCGTTGGCGTCCTGAGACATCTTCCTTTCACATGTCGGTCGGTGAGGTTACGATCACTCTTGAGGACGTTGCCACACTGAGCGGTTTACTGATCGATGGTGAGGCCGTCATAGTAGACGTACCAGATCGTGAGTGGTCGGAGACGTGTACCAGACTGTTAGGACATGCTCCTAACGATCTTAGCGGGGGTGTCGTTAGGCTTAGTTGGCTTAGGGAGAATTTCAACAATCTGTCGCCAAATGCATCAGCAGAGATTACAGGACAATTTGCACGAGCGTATGCCCTATCTTTGATTGGGTTTATGTTGTTCCCCGATCGGAGTGGAAGCTACAGTTCACCTGCAGTATCTACTCCTCTTGGAGAATATGCGGACCGCAGGAGACTACGCTTGGGGAGCAGCTGTTCTAGCCTACCTGTACCGTGAGATGGGTAGGTCGGTTCTGCATATGACGCAGTCCTCTTCCACCGGAGGTGAAATTGGTGGCTGGGTCGCCTTGCTGCAGCTCTGGGCGTGGGAGCGATTCCCATTGATAGCACCCCAACATACAGTGACGGATGAGCCTATTACAGCGGACGCATCTCCACGTGGTGCTCGATGGCTTCCGGCCATGACCCGTCAGCATGGTGACCAGCTCTTCAGTTATAAGTTGTTTTTTGACGTGCTGGAGACGATCGTGGTTAGTAATAATATTTCATACAAGAATAGTTTTTGGTTCACATTAGTTTGTTTTAGACTAAGTTGTAATAATGTGCCCACCTTTCTGTGTAGTGGTTGCCTTACTGGGAGAGAGACCTGCAGTTTAGGGGTTTCGTTCCCCAGTCAGATACCTTCCGAGCAGTGGTTCCACTGATCTGCTTTTCAGTAGTGATGTGGCACCATCCAGATCGGGTACTCCGACAGTTTGGCATGATGCAGAACGAGCCTCATCATCCAGCTCCTGATGCAGAGATTAGGTGGTTTCATCGCCAAACAGCTCGTGGGCCATCGCGAGGGCATCGGTTGATGCACGCCTCCAGAGAGTCGATTGATTTGTGGAGTTGTCGACATGAGTATATAGCGACTAGGCCATGCACTGTGAGTGTGTTCGAACCCGTCATGTTGAAATTGTTGGGAGAAGTCTGTACTACATAGATGCCCAGACGTCGATCAACCCTCGTCACGGAATGTCCCACTGCCTTTTGTGACCATGTCTTCATCTTCTCTTCGCACTTGATGGTGTACTGTGAAGTTCCACTTCTGATTTGTGCTTCTGTCTCCAACCTCGTCTTATCGAATTTCTCCAATAATCGCCAATAAGTATGTTGCACTGCCTGCACAAGAGAAGCTATAGGAAGTGAACGAATAGCTTTGAAACACCATTGATGCTCTCTGCCATGTTGGTCGTCATCGAGTCCCACCATTATAGTTATCATGTGCTAAGCTCCAACGAATTTGATTTTGATCCACCCAGTTATCACAAGAAATATTTTTTTCAGCGGCCATCTTCTTAAATTGCTCAACTTGAAGATCGAACTTCTCCAAGCGTTTTTCTCGGGCTAACAAAATAACCACAAGACTGTTGGCCGAAATTTTTCGGCGGCCGGAACCAGGCAGGGCCGACGGAAATCGGTGGCCGGAGCCAGGCTGAGCCGAAAACATTTTGTGGCTCACCCTGGCTTCGGCCACAAATTTTCGTCGGCCCGGCGTGGTTCCGGCCGCCGGAAATCTTCGGCCCAGCCAGGTTTCGGCCGCCGGAAAATTTTGGCCCAACGTCTGTTCGTTGCAAATCGTCGGAAAAATTGTTCGAAACTGCAAAAAATTGACGCCCCTGCTTAGTGATAATTCATGGATGCGTGTCCGCAATTTACGTCGAGGATTGGCTTTCCCGATGATTTTCCGATGACTTTTCCGGCGAGTGTCGATTTTTTCTGATTCAATACGTTTTCTGAAAATTGGATATGTTTTAGATTGTGAAACTCCTTAACCAAAGATGTACATATATACTTTTTTTTCTGTTGGCGGCAAATAGTAATTTGGTTGGCGGCAAATAGCAAGCCCCTTCATTCATTAGGAAAAAACAAATATATACTTGTTGGTTCTAGGATAATGTGATAAATATCAAATTTAGCTACGGTTTAGTAAGGAAGTGAAATTGATTGGTGCTTTTAGTTGTAGTTAGTTTGGTTATCCATTCTTCACTAACTAAATTTGAACTTTTAAATTAAAGTGGGTCAAGAAAATTCAGATGTGAGATTTAATGGCTTTCATTTTCACTAGTTTTCTTAATCGGCTCTTATCTTCTCCTTCTAACTTGAATTTACATTTTTTTTACACAAATGGAGCGAGTTCATTGTGATCTACAAAATAAGTTCCATTTTCAATATATTTCGACAAAAAAATTGCATACCACTCGTTACCACCTTGGTGCCACCCTGTACCACTTTCGTTTTTAACTCAAATTTTGGAACGAAATCTTCTTGATCTATTGGATCTACAAATTTATGCAGAAAAAAATACAGGACCAAAACGTATCACCCCGTACCACCCTAGTATAAGGGGTGATAACTAGTGGTACACAATGATGAATGTGGTAAATGACAGTTTGTATATTCCTACTATCACGTATTCAACCATTATATACTCTGTTATGTTCATACCCCCATAGTATACACTTCATTACCACATGATATGATTTTATGTACCAAACATAATCACCATGATATAGACTGGTACTAAATGTCTCAAATATTTTTGTTAAAAAATATATATTTGGGCCGGCATGTAGGGGAGTTCGCTTGGCTTGGCTTGTTGAAAATGGAAAATGATAATTGTAGATAGAAATAATGGAAGGAAGGGGAGAGTGGGGCGGGATGTACATGGGGCGTTGGGTTTTGCTTGGATCGGTACATCATAGGCACGCTTCCGGCCAATTTATTTCGTGACGTACCATGTAAGCCTATTTGTTAACTTTGCTAGGCCCGACACAGGTTCAGGCACGATTCGAATCGTGCCGTGCCTATTCGTGCTCGTGTCATGCTCTTATTCGTGTTTAATGAAAAGGACGAAAACAAAAGAGTGAATGAAAAAAAGGCGAAAATTGGACGGAGGAAGATAGTATTAACCGATAATGTTTGAGAAAAGTAACAAATTAGGGGGAAAAGAAAATTGGAAGTATAGCGAGTGCGATTTGGCTTTGTTTAATTCTTTGTCCATTTTTACTTATGTTAGTAATTACGTATATATCTGTATGACACTTCTAACAACAACAAATAATTATTTTTCTACTTGTGTTTTGTAATATTTGAACTTATAATTTTTTTATATTTATTTTCTATCAAATAAATATTATTTTCGTGTTATGTCTGTTCTTATACTCAATAAAGTCTCGAAAATATTAGGCCCGGCACGACCCACTTATATTCCGTGTCGTGCCCGTGCCCATGAAGTTTAGACCCGAACGGCCCATAAATTATTCATACTCGTGCTGGACTGACCCATTTATTTCGTGCTCATGCTCGTGTCATGCTGCACGGTGCCGTGCTGTGCTAGCTCGTGGGTGGCACGACCTAGTGTCCACGTACAGACAGGACAGTGGGGTTAAATAATAATAATAATAATAATAATAATAATAATAATAATAATAATAATAAAAAGGAGCAAGGCAGTTATTGTTAATGAATGAATTTCTCGAAAAAGGGTATTGCTGGGACGGGTGTGTGTGGGCGGGTTTAGCTTTTTAGGTACAAAAAGACACCACTAGCAAAGCTATAGGCTAGGGTAGGGTAGGGTAGACAAATATCTTTTCTTTCTTCTGTTCCTTTACCCCAAAGCATCCAAAACACATTCAATTCTCATTAATCCACTCAACACCACCACCAGCAGCAAAATGAAAAGCCCCCATGATGATGATCATCAGGTGCTAGCTCCCCTCTTCTGCAAAAACCCACACCCGCACAGCTCTGCCATTTTGCATATATATATATATATATATATATATATATATATATATATATAGTTCAGGCTAGCGTACGTTCGGGGTACGCTAGTATGAGTTTTGCTATTTATATCATGATTTAACAAGAATTTGGGGCATGTACTATACCCTAACCTTTAATGGATGAATCCCCGTCCCTAATTTTCTAACCGAAATCATGAGATTCGTTTAATTTTAAAATGAAAATCAATGGTAATTTCGACGAATCAGAATCGTTGATTTTCATTTTAAGATTAAACGAATCTCATGCTTTGGGTTCGTGAATTTGAGATTGGGATTCACCCATTAGGTGTTAGGATATAGTATCGTGTCCCAAACTCCGTTTAATTCATTGTCTAAATAACAAAACTCAATGGAGCGTACGCTAAGTTAGCATACGTCCGGGCGTAAGCTAGCCTTTGTCATATATATATATATATATATATATATATATATATATAAGGTGACTTCTACGATGCCCAGGGCAAAACCCGGGTACGGGTGCCTTGGCCGATCTTAACCGTTCGTTTTCAATCTCCACGGCTCACGTTTGTTAAACCTAGCTGCGCCACTAAATAACTAAACAAATTACAAATTGCCTCCTCCGCGTTAAGTTAGTTTTCATCCTAGTCCAACTAACTGCCCCGGTTAAATTAAATGGATTAAGACCCAAACCCAATTGGGTAGACCCACTGCCGCCCAAACCAATTTCCAGTCTCCCTAACCAATTACACGATCCCTCTCTCGTCTTGGAGGGACGCCCCTTCACAGTTCCAAGAGAAGCTCCCCATCCACATTCGACGTAGATTGAATTTCCCAAAATAATTTTGTCTTGTTTCTTCTTCGCCAGTGTATTTCCCCTCGCCTATCTCTTTCTAAACACGATTACGGCGACCATGTCTATTATTGTGTTCATCGAACTTTTCATTTGGAAAAAAAACCCTTGAAAGAGGTTTGCTAACCCTAGGGTTCATGTCACTAGTGCTTTGTCATCTTGTCTTAGCGTTATTGTGATTATATCTCTCGGTGAAATTAAGGTTTCCTGATATGCAGTGTTCGTCTCGCCCAGAGGATTGAGGAAGGAGATGAAGAAGACCTAATTTGATTCGAATCAGATGGAGAGGTCTCCTTAATTTGTGTTTATGTATTAACGCTGCGTTTAGGACTAATTCTAGTTGGACTGGGTCTGATCATTGATTTTTGCAGGCTTTTAAATAACATTCAAACGTGGGCTTGTACATGACCCATGAAATATTCAAAATTGGGCCTGGAACGTGCGAGCCCATTAGTTTTCTCCTGCGGTATCAGCGCCAACCCCAGTTTAACTAGATTTAGTTACCCTAGTTTAACCTACACGAGTTAACATCATCATTACTACATATCTTCCCAAATCTTCTAACTCTTGACATTCCAGACTCAACCGTCTCCATCACACGTCTCCACACTCAACCCCCACTTTTTCTTACACCTACAATCTCTCTTTCCCTACAATCTCTCTTTCCTCCATCTTCACCTTCCCTTGTTCCTTCTTCCTCTGACTCCATGGCAAACATGGGCATTCTAACTCTATCAAACGACGACTGCCGAACCACCACAAGTCTCGCGGACTATCTTTCATTCACGAGCAAGACATCTATTGTGGCCGAGTACGAGTTCATCAACCTGAGTCCTTTCCCTCAAGAAGTTAAGAAGTTAATTAAAAATCTTGGCTGGGAAAAGTTCTTCGATCTCCGGAGTCGAGGAAGCACCAGTTACTGCCCGCATGTGGTGAGGAAGTTCTACCACAATTTAGAGCTGTCTGGTCCCTCCGATTCTCATCTCGTGTCGACCTTCCTGGGTCATAGAGTCTGCTTCCAGCCTCATCAGTTTGCTGAGATCCTCGATCTCCCCGCCGCAGGACACCACATTGATAGCAGAAGCGATCTTCGGCGGCTGT